ATTTGAATATTATTATGACATGTAAATTTTGTAAATATTAATAATATTATTTTTATATATTTTATTTTATAAATGATAAGTAGTAAAGATAAAATTCGAGCCTAGGACCTTATGATATACTATCAAAATCTTTAGCACCTAAACTAGCTAACACCCTCAAAATAATTTCATAAATAGTTTTGATAATAATTTTATTTTTTAAAAATAAAATAGATTAATTAAGATAATATGAAGAACCTATGGGTTCTCCATCCTAAATGGAGATTTTTCATCCTCGCCCCCACCCTGTCTAAATGAAGAATGAGGTGGAAATAGAAGATGAGACTATTCCTCCCTCGATATTCCTATTTGTCTAGTCATTATAAAGGTATATGACTATTTATTAAGAAATATATATTTTTAAAATTTCTTAAGATATAGACAACAAAAAGATACTTATTCTTGAGTACATCTAAAGTTTATTGTTAGACAATTATAGCTGCAGCTGCATGTACTTTTATATTTTGTTATATATTTAATTTATAAATTATTTTACTACCATAAAATAGTCCTCAGCTAGTTCAAAATTCGCAGAGGAGACCCTTTATTGATGGCTTTAGCAAGCATTTGATCGTCGACTTCAATACGAATCTTTTATTCCCTCCACAAGAGCTAACTTGATTGCTTAGAGATCAGCAACCACTCCATTGTATCTTTTTGTGTCCTTATAATCTTCATGGCATTCAACTTTCCTTGTAGGAAGTTATATCGCACCCAAGTGACACCGGCAAAAAAAATAAAAAAAAGAGAATGAAATGTGAGGCGTTTCTAGGAAATTTACTGTTTTATAATTTGAAGAGGATATGTGTGGAAGATGATCTTATAACTTGTAGGGACATGGAGTCTATGTCAAAATTGGTAGGGGTCAACACTCTATTGTCCAATTTGTAAGGATAGGTCTAAAATAGATGCATATTGTTTGTTTCATCCTTTTCGAAGGGACATTTTATGTACCTAATGCAGGTACGTAAATGAAGGGACATTTTTAAAAGATTACCTACTTCTCTGATATTGCTTTTTAATTAGGCAACTTCCATCACAAAATTCAAATATGATTTACATTTAAATTCAAGGATGAGTACAACCTTAAATTCGCATGACCAGAACATTTTCATAGCACACGTGATGTGATCTCCATCATAAACCTCACCAACGATCTAAAATGTTCATTAAATGTCTTTCTTTCCCTCTCACAGCGTTGTACGATATCAAGAAAAGAATGACGATTGAGCATGCTAAAGAAAATGATGGACGTTACTACCTTAAGACAACGAGTGGAGATGTCATTGTTTCAAGTCTGATTTGTTCACTTAAGGAATTTGATTTCATTCTTTAACCAAAAAAAAAAAAAAGGCATTGGCATACTTCATTCTTTACTGTGCAAACTATATTCATTGATTTAATTTTCGTTCGACAAATAAAAGGTTTTCAATACATTTTCGTCTTTCTCATACCGACGTAAAAGGAAAATGTATTACAATTCATGGTTTGTCTCTCTAATTGATGTTGACATGGTTTAATAATAGATCTCGTGTACAAGTACTCCTCGTTAAAATAGAAAAACTGATACTTGAATTTGCAAGAGATGTACTTTAACCAAATGAAATCTCAAAAAACATTATGCGGGAAGTTATTGTAATAATATCTTAATATATTTTCTTTTTTATTTTTTAAATCCACTTATTTAATCATTAGATTAGTCTTTGTGTCTGAGTGATCTTTTACTTTGAAAGATTTCAAAAATTTCTTATGAAATAATTGTTGGAATTAAACTTGTTTAAATATGATAAAGAGATTCATTTCATCAAAGATAGATTCATTGCATCAAGAGGGAGATTCACTACATCAAGAAGAAAAATAGATTAAAAATATATGAAAAGATAAGTTAAATTGATTATTAGTTTTTGAAAGGATTTCTTGAAAAGAATGATTCTTCTTGAATACAATTAATGTAATGTATCTTTGGGAACTATATAAACCCCGTATGTTGGATCACGATAGATAGAGTTTCTGAATTCATAAAGTATTTTTCTTGAAAGAAATATAGAAGATTTAAGCTTGTCCTACTCTTCCTTTGTTTGATATCTCTATCCCCCTCTTTCTTGAATACAATTATGGCTTCTATGGTTAATCAGAATGACTCTTGTTTTTGCAACAACCAAGCTAACCTTACCCTTCCAAGTAATTGATCACACTCCTAATCAATTCATGATCTATGAATCAACAAGTGTCCAAGTGTCTTACCCTTCCTTGCTTTGATGTTTCACACCTCTGATGGACATGCAAGTATTTGGTCGTCGCAGGATGTGATAGACGTGCTTCGGCTAACCCTCTACAGGTAGAAGTATCAACTGGTTTGGAGGATTATCCTGTGATAAAAAAGGATGGGTTTTAGCAACATCATGACACTTTCCGAGTCTCAACAATACGTCAATTTGCTAATCGTGAGTGTCATTTTTTAATGATATTTTACTGTTTGTTTGCGGTGGAAATCGATGTATGTCAATTCAGGCAGGCATATTGGTAGAGAAATGAATGTTTTTGCCCTTAATTGAGCTACCATCGTTCCCCATTCTCAAGTCTTGAATTTAATGATGTTGAACTTAAAACTTTTAATTCCTAATATATCTTCTTCTTTTTTTTTTTCAAAAGAAAAAGAAACTTCAATCAATAAAAAAAAATTCAAAACTCTTTAAATATATTTTTCTTGACCAGTCATCCGCATATAAGAGGGGCATAAATGATTATCCTACTGGAAAAAAATGTCTATGCAGACATAAATGATCAATATGATTCTTATATTATTATTAAAATCTTTACCAAATCCTAATTCCTCTCTCCTTCGAGAACATTCGATTTGGAGACCCATTTTTGAATCTAAACATGCACTCGTTCGATTAAACTTATTAGCCGGAGACCAAATTCGGCCATCTCCATTGGAGGACTTATAAGGAAGAAAAAGTCACCGGTGGACCCTATGCATGCATGCTCAATCAATGAGCCAGAATTAGGTATCATTCATCCCTTTTTTTTCTTTTAATTACGGTTCATTCATTCTTACTGCACTTAGAAAAGGGAAAAGACTATATACTCAACACCCGATATCCAAAAGAATAATAGATTTGATATCACAATCAAACATAAAGCTGAAGTTTTCTGAAATTTAATAAAGCTAGATTAATGGTCACAGTCAAACATTTTACTCCACAGGCCAAGTTGTATAGCACTAAGAATAAGGATTTTGATTTCTCTTGCTACTCAAGTAAGTGGGTTGGACCTTGTAATAGTTTGGTGTAAGAAATGCTAGTATATACGGAGATCTACAGGGGAAGTCTACACGGAGACTCCACTTAGTTTTAATAATAAAGCAACAAGGAAATGACTGTGATCTCAAAAAATCACTATACAATCAATCTTAAATAATCTCCTGGACCACAGTTCCACAAAGGTTATGGTAAGGTTCAGATACAGATAAAATTTGTCGTGATGACACACTCTTTATGTTCATGCCCTCCCTCCAGCGAAATTAATTATTTTATTTCTTACAAAAAAATAAAATAATAGTGACCCACTCTTACGAAACAGAAAGCTCCAACTACAACGTTATGACATAAAATGTTCAAGAAGAAGAGATTAAGAAGCTGAAGCAATGTCCAACGAATATTTCCTCAAATAATGATGTCATCGTTTATGTCAACGCTTTTGGATGACTATTATCCAGAAATAGCGTAAATAGCAAGCTTAATTAATCAATTTATGCATGTACTTGAATACCAAATTCAGCAAATTCTTAAGTATAGTCAGCCCTTGGCAAAGGTGTTTTTTTGCTTTGTTTTCCTTTTCAGAAAATGAATGAGAAAATGGAAGGAAAAAATCAAGTCCAACGCAAACCAGGTTGGGTTTATCATGAACTAAAGATCCACTAGTGCATGTTGTACCTTCGCTGAGAGTAATTGCATGGAGAATTAACAAGCAATGTGCAGTCGTTAGAGAAAGTGCTGTAGTAGAATATAGATCAGTGACTCAATATATGTATAAGCTGATCTAAAATCTATTGATTCTCTCATATGTGGAGATAAAACTAGAAAGATTTATGAAGTACAACAAGTCAGGAGATCGTACTACATGCATAGAAATAGATCGGGACATGATCAAATACAAACTAAATTCGTGATAGCTTTGTATAACTCTATTCTAGGCGATCGGGAAATATTGACATTCTTTCTCGGATTCATAAGATATTCTAATTTTATCATTTTTTCCTTTTTGTATTTATATGCTAGCTAAAAAAAAATCCTAAAATATTAATTAGACTTTTTTTAATAGTTTCCTAGGATAGCTCCAAAACATTTGTATGTATACCCATGTTGTAATTCATAAAAAAAGGGGAAAAAACTTCTCTTATGTTTCTTTATTCTTTCTGTGCGTCCAATTCTCTTCATATTTTATCCATACATATTAAAATTATTGATCGAGTGTTGAGATACTTCACAAGGTTGCCCCGTTCATTTATTCAAAGTAGCTGAATTAGACACCCGAGTTCCAACTTTTTTACTTGCAAATGTGAATTCTGTCTGCCACTCTACAAATGGGAATATACGCCACCACCACATCTTTGAGTTGGATCATCACATACTTTATGTGTGATTTTAGATTACTGAATCACACCGCTTTGATGCTTTCCTCACCTTATTTAATTAGTGATGTAAACTAATAATAAGCCAGTAAGAATATTTGTGTCTTGTGGAAAAAGGGAAAGTTAAAAACAAGTCAACTCTCTCTCTCTCTCTCTCTCTCTCTCTCTCTCTCTTGCTTGTGGATGAAGTAGGTGGCTGGGGGAAGTCCACAATTTGCCACCAACCTTCCATCATCATTGTGCATCCCACCTCTTCCTCACTACATCTAACAACAACCACCTTTCCCACCTGTCCCCTCCCATGCACATCCTTTGAATGCTAGTTCTCCTTTGGCGGCCTCCTCGTATCTACCTCTATTTCTCTCTCCCTCGTGTTCATCTTTCTATGAAGACACAGTCTTCTTCCTAACCCTTCCCCGTACCTTTCCTCACCTCCTCCGGCTTCTACCTTTCCGTTTACTTCTACTTCTCCATACCTTCCCTCGTCTCCTCCGGAGTCTCCCTTTCCATTTACTTCTACTCCCAAGTAATCGCCGATCATGGCACCAGCCTTCGTTCACCGTGATCGGAATACCATCTGCGTCATGGACGCGTCATGTAGCCTCGGTGTCTCGCTCGTCGACAGGCTCCTACAAAGAGGATACACTGTTCATGCCGCTGCTTACAACCATGGTTCCAGTTCCCTCCTCCTGCTCGTCTTTGTTCTTGTTCATTTCAAGCAATCTTGTGCTGTTGTGTCTCAGTAAATTCACGGTAGTCCATTTTTGCCATGGAATTATGATTGTTTACTTCGATTTTTATGATCCGGTATTGCAGGTGACTCGAGTGGCAATCTGAAGAGGCTATCCGGCGAGAACACCCGGCTTAAGCTCTTTCAAGCGGACCCCTTCGACTACCACAGCATCGTGGAAGCCATGAAGGGTTGCTCGGGCCTGTTCTACACCTTTGAGCCTCCTCAGGATCAATTCTATGACGTAAGTGTTTCCTTCACCTATTTGGAAGAGTTTTAAGCACGAAATTGAGATGCCAAAGACTTTCTTCAAATTCCAGCCTCCCTCAAAAAGTTTATTAGATGTCATGAGCTGGGCTTATTGATTGCACAAACAGTTTGAACAAAAAGGAGCAAGTGGGTACAGAAACGACTGTAACCATTTAAAGCATAGAATTGCACTTTAAGAAATATCTTTGACAATCATGGACAGCCCACCTTGTCTGATACGACTGCAAGCAAATCGTCGTCGCTTCTCTTGTCTTGATCTGTGGCACATGATGCAGGAGCTCATGGTCGAAATCGAGGTGAGGGCAGCACACAACGTGCTGGAAGCATGTGCTCAAGTCGAAACCATCGAAAGGGTCGTCTTCACCTCATCGGTGACGGCCGTCGTTTGGTCGGAGAACCAAGAACCGGTGACGGACGTGGACGAGAGGGGATGGAGCGAACCCAGCTTCTGCAGAACGTTCAAGGTAATAAAATATTTTATATGTATATATATAATCTTCTTTCTTCTTATCTCTTGATTGCTTAGCCACAAGAAAGAGAGAGAAGTTTCAAGATAGATAGGCTCATGCCATCAACGTCGACAATAGAATTCTGTGACTAGTCAAACTTCAAACTTAAAAATGATACTACACTACCCTCCAACCATCATTTTTCAGTGAGAAATTGATGTCCACTTCTTAATAAACACATCTCACACAGCTTTCTTTTGGCAAACTGCCAATTTACACCTACTCACTTGTTGACTGTTGACTGTGTTCTCCCGTCCATTGTTGACCAAAAATTTAATGAATGCCATTTTTAGTTGGTAATTACGATGTAACCAAATATATGATTATTTATGCATGACATCGATACATGAATGTGATGTAGATGGACCCAAAACCTGACTTGATCCCAACTCAACCTAATTCCTTAAATAATGATGTAGAGATGGTCTAAATATGCATTTAGCATCTTTACATGGCTATTTCACAAAACGGCCCTCACGCTTAATCCTTCCGCCAAACGGCAGCTTTGGCACGCGCTGGCGAAGACGTTAGCGGAGAAGACGGCGTGGGCCATGGCGATGGACCGAGGCGTCGACATGGTCGCCGTCAACGCCGGGCTCGTAACGGTACCAGGGATCTCCGTCACCAGCCCCTACCTGAAGGGCGCGCAGCGGATGTACGAGGGCGGCGTCTTGGTGACGGTGGACGTCGGCTTCCTAGTCGACGCCCACGTCGCCGTTTACGAGAGCCCGTCTGCTTACGGACGTTATCTCTGCTTCAGTGACGCCGTTTGCCGCCCTCATGACGCCGTTAAGCTCGCCCAGTTGCTCTCTCCGTCCGACGCCGGCGCTCCCCCATGGTTTTAACTCTTTCCTTTTCTCTTTAATTATTTCATGTACTTAAATTAAAAGAACAGTATTTGTAATATAAGTGTGTGTATTGCGTATGTGCAGTGATGAGTTGAGGGTTGTACAACAGCGGATCCAGAACAAGAAGCTTCACAAGATGATGGTGGAATTTGACGCGGGTAAACACGTGGACGAGTAGCAGCAATTCAATTAGTGCCCTTGATGAATAAGGACGAGGAAGTATCAATTGTATAGATGCACTGTGCTCCTATCAAATATAAATATATAGAGATTGCATTCCATAAAATTGTAATATATATA